TCGGCTGAATCAAGCAGAAAGCCCAGCAGTAGTAACTCCAGTAGCGGGAGTAATAGCCGATCGGGAGGTAACAGCCGACGACCTGTAAGCAGCCGACGCAAGAAAGAAACGAGCTAGTTGTAGTGAGAAGCGAATGGCAAATGGCATCATGATGTTAAGTAAAAGGAGGGGTCTTTTGATCGTACACTTGTTCTTCCTCTTTAGTCTCGGCAATATTGATGTTGCGACTCACACAACATAAGTCAGATTTCGTAAAGGTTGCGAACAAAGTGCCAATAATCTAGCTCGTCTTCGTTACTTGCCATTCTTTGAGCAAGTAGAACTTCCACTACAAACTCTCCCCATGATTTTTCTGGTCGATTGTATGGGTTTACACCACGAAGCACATGTGGTGCTGTACTGGCGCGGTCATTCAACTCCATGGAGTCACTTACAATTGGTTGCTGAGAGCATAACTCATTGCGAGTCGATCGCTGCATAGGTATGTCACCACTTTGCATCCCGTAAGTCGACGGCGGTTGATCTGCAGTATCTCGATGGGGAGTAGCTACTTGTTTTTGGCCGAACAATTGTAGTCCAGAGGCTGCTTGATCCAAGCGATGATATCCACCGATAGCTGAGAAGTCGGTGTGCTTCTGTGCTCTCACATCTTGAGAGTATGAAAGATGCGCTTGATTTGCGGCTGACTGTTGTTTTGGTAGCATTTGTTCTTGATTTGTATCTATCTGAATAGAAGGCCCAGCATTCCTCGTCTCATGGCCAAAATTATTGCCAGTCCACCGCAAGTTGTCATTATTGAATCTTGAACCATGATACGACTTGTTGACATTCAACTCTGTACTTTGATTCCGCTTTATTACCAACCTTGGACGAGTGTCATTTGGAATGCCCAAAGAAGGATCTGTGAGAGGCATTATTCTCCTCTTACCTGGCGCGAGCGATTCGTCGGCTCTCTCAATAGCGTTATCAGTCAGCTGATCTCTCTGTATCGGACGCAATAATTTCAAAGGCTTCATTAATGGAGTCGAATCTGACTTCCACCTGTCATGACTCGTCTTTCCGTTAGTTCTATGCGGATCAATGAGCATGACGATTGCTAAAGGGAGATATTTCGAAGCACGAAAGGCGAATTCCTCGACCGTGCGGTCACCAATGTTGTATTTGGTATCTATTGTCTTCATAGTCTCCACAAAAGATAAGAGCTGTGCAGACCAGCGCATTGCAGGACTTCGACCCTCAACAATACGCCGCATCTGAGCACCTAACTCGCGCATTTCTATCAACGACCATTGTGCGAAGCCATCAGCAGTACGCATCGAACTACTAATTTTCATACTGATGCTATCTGTACGCAAAGCCGTGAGCATAGCAACACTTGCGGCTTGCGATTTGCATGGCCAATTGCGCTCCCGGCAAATGGCTGAGTAAATCATGAACGTTTCGTCATGCCAGCTCCACGCAATATCCCCACGATAGCCTACCCATCCCTCATCTACTTCTAGTAGAAGTCGCGCACCTTCGGCTGTCCAAGGCTCGTCGAGTAATGTGATAGACCCGCCAGCCGCAGGTGGTGCGGTCGCCATTTTGCTTCAATTTGGGTATTTGTAAATCATTGGAATTGGCTTCTTAGACAAATGTCGATGGAACAAATTGAATTTTGAAGTATAATTTTATGATAAACCGTACCTCAGCAATAAGAGCGAAGGAGACAAAAAGTAATATTACCGCAAACTGAGCACTGAATCTATTAGCTGCCCCAGAGCTTAGTGTCTGATAAAGCCTACAGCACGCGCTTGACATGGCTTACACGACTCCTTGAAAGGGGTGACGTTCTAAAATTTACCCAGAGCTCAGTGTCTGCGTGGCTAATTCAATCGTCTATGGCGTATTCCAACCTCCCGCACCCCGACCGCATTTGCAAAATTAAGCTAGATGCATTTAATTCGATTCTTCAAAATGTCAGGCTGTACGCGGAAGGTCTCGATGCGAGTTCAGAGACTACCATAAATACGGTGAATTTATCTGATTTTGGATAAGGGTAAGCCGCCGCAATTCACCGACTCATAAAGTCCGCGTTAACTAATGCACAGAGGTTGATTTTCGTGTTGCTAGTTATCTGGCTTTGCTCTGTTACCACTTTTTAGCATTCACTTATCTAGACTTCATACAATGTGCTATATATCCAGTGACATCTTTACTCAATGTCGCAGTACGGGACTCTTTTTTTGTTGAATGCCGGATCCCCATCATCTCCAATACTCTTTAGTACCTGTGAATTTTGCAACTACAAAGAAATGTACAGTTGGAAGTTGCTATATAATATCTTATTACACGACTCTACCTACTCGGCCCTGACTAAGATACTACATTGCTTATATCCGCTGGGGTATTTTTTCTTGTTCTTCTTGTACGAGTCGCCATCCCGAAGTCCATTTTTGGCTGTAGTCGTTAGAATTTAGCATGCAGCCGACTTTTCGTGCATATCTGGATTGATTACGATTTTGTCCGCTGAGGGGCTTGAACTCGCACCACAGCTCAAAAGCACTGACCACCTGACCCACGCCACCGGGTTTACACAGAAATGTATAGTGAATTATGTATAATTTTACGAAGTTGCATTGTTACAATTATACGCCACTAAGATGTGGGTCATACTGAGGCTTACAGCTGCTGATTTTATGACATCGCGCAAAAGCGAAAGCTCAACGAACAACTATTGTGCGTTCACTATTTGCACTCTACCGTCTCAGATTCGAAAAGCATATTCGCATCAGGAGTCCTCGTCATCTTACCATGGCTTCCGAGAAAGGCGAGTCGGTGAAGAGGCCAGTGTCAAATTTGAAACGAGACGGGCCATTCGTCACTGGTAAGCGCGCTGCAATAGACGACTCTTTTTTGCCTTCCATGAAGGCAAGGACCGAGCGATTGGCAACGGAAGTAGAAGAACTCTGCCGATTCGGAACCTCGAACTTGCAGTTTTCTTCCACATCATAAAATACCGGTAACATCGCTGGTTAACCGCCAGATTACGCTCCATCTACATGGATATTGACCGACTTTTGCTCATCGAGCGATGCCAGCAGAAAGACACTGCCGTTGCTGGCTTTTGCGGCATATTCACTCTCTAATATAGCGTCTATACCATAATGAGCCAAATTTCGAGCGCATTTTTGAAACTACATCAATATATTACGTTTCCCATGCGGTACTAAATTGTGTCGCTTCACATGGGTAAAATTGAGCTTAGCTACAAGGAATGACTAGCTTCGACATCAGCCGAGCGCATCGCATGCAAATAGAACGTTACGTTGGTCCGTAATATGAACAGAGCAATCCCACAGTGTAGCACAAAATGTAATTGTATGCTTTTCGACAGGATTTAAGTGCAGCTCAAAATATGTTCGCTTTGACCGTGAAAGCTCCGATAAACCATGTCCACAACTTGGTCTATCAGACCGCCGACGCTCCATTGTTGGCGATGTCGGTGTCTAATTTGTTCTACACCTCATTACAGATTCATCTTGCCTCTGACACAGGTGAGCTGTTTTGAAATAGGTAACCCTCAGCCATAGCGTCGCGCACTTGGCGCATGGTGCTAAATCTCATTAGACAATTTTGCTAGAAATTAAACTAAAGTGTAGCCGACCTAAAATCTGCGAGCTGTCCTCTCACCTAGACCAGAGCCACTTTGGGGTGAAGTCAATGGAGCTCATGGGATAACTTTATAAGTATTAATACACGGGGTTAAGTTTGTTAAGTCATGCACTGCTTTATCTACGGTAAACTCAGTGAGTGATTCATATCGCTCCAGCACCTGCCTAAACTTTACTTCAGAATGCGTCTAGCGCATTCTGCCTGACCATCTGTCTATCGATGATCCGTGGCAGACTTGTCTAATTTGGTGCCAAGCACCTGAAGCCAACTTGACCAGAACTTTGCTACAAAGCTCAGATACGGATGTGAAAGGACGGCTACTCGTAAACCATGCTGTCACAACCCCCAGCTCGGCTGTTTTCCCATTGGTAAGAATGTCGCTGACGGCAGCAAGACTGTTTAGATGACCTAATAATACCACGATCTTAGCAATCTTGGATGGGTACACCGAAACCGCAAGTCATTACTAATGTGCTGCAAACACTCTGCCAGCATTGGCAGACTACAAAAACATGTGGTAAGGTCTAACGCAGAATGATGGTTCGTATACGTGCACACATATTCTAAGTGCTTACTCATTTGTATATGGTAAATGGGTTACCCCATAACTTCCCGCTCGATGCACTCACTGCCGCATCACTGATGTCCTTGATCCCTGTCGAGTTAGCCGAGAGCGCAGTACAGAGATCGCTCAACCATGCCGCTCTGCAGCACATCTATTCCAAAATCGCCGACTAAGTCAAAACGGTGCTGCATTCAGCTTGTTAAATTCTATTTATTGCGAACAGGCGGCGTCAAACGGGATGATTTACACTATTTCGCAAACCGCACTTCTTGCTTTTCACAAAGAAAGAAACAATGAGCTCATTTTGTCCTCATGATATACTGTTGACGTGTTAGGCAATATTTGGTCTCAAAAAATGTTATGTCGCCCGGATACCACACTTGCGGTGGGAATCTTGCCACGTCGTTGTGTAACTTCTTTCAGAAAAAATAAATAGGACTCAAAGACTCCTCGTACTCATTAGTATCCTCAGGAAAAAATTCACATGACAGACCATGAGTACAGCTTCTCTATAGGCTTTGTCACCACCAATTTGGCGTTTTGCCGTTCGTGCATGCATCCCCGGGAATAATGTTCGAGCTCCTTTGCTTCGGGTAGGGAGGTGTTCTTTGGGCTACACTTTTTGCCATAAACCCGTGAATTTTTAATTATTTGGACACTTTTTGGTAAAGAAAATCAAAAATGTAAATTCTTTCAAAAGAGTGACATTTTTAAGATAAATGGAGCAATCAACGCTGCATTCCGCGCCGCCCTGCGTGGAAGAGTTGATCCTCTCAGGCTCCGATATAAATGTGCTTAACCGTACAGCACTTTCACTATGGCACTTTCGACAAATGGTGGTAGAGTTGGTGCCGTCTGTAGCTGCGTCCGTTGATCCCGAAGAAGATCACAGCCTTAGATCGCCCGATAAAGTCGTCGCGCCATATCCCAATCGCGGAATAGAATTGGGTGAGGGCATGAATGTAGCCGCTGTGTTGTATAAGGAGGATAAAAAGGCTTTAGATATTGGGAAGAAAAGTGTGGACGCAGAGTTGTCAGAAGATCACAGGAACTGGATAGATAGACCAACGCTGCGACAGCAAGGCAAAACAACGCACATAGTAGGACGCTTGACGCCGAACACCCGTGTTTCCGCTGTATTCGAACGATACCGATGCGTTCTCTGTCTAGACGCGTCACCATCTATATTATCCATCGACCCGTCATCTGGACGGCTTTTCTTAGACCTGCTGTACGAAAGTGTGGAACTTTTTATTTGGAGCATGTTGAGGCCTATGGAAATAGGAGGCGAGGCTTTTACTCCAGAGATCCATGTGTCAGTATTGGTGCAAGGAGCACTCGTTGAATCGCTTTGCGTATTGATGCAGGGTTACATTGTCACCCCACTAAATGCTTTAAAATTCTTACAGCTCATAAAGGAACGACTCCAGCTCATCGAAAACGACTGGGCACTTCTAACCCAAAAACGCGGTCAGTGGGGGTATTTAGGAAACGCTACACCAGCATCACTGGATTGGATCCTGCAAAACGTCGTGTTTGCACTCAATTCATTGCCGACAGATTGTACACCAATGATGGTACTAGTTACAGATGGCGTGGTGGATGTTCGGGATGTATATTCGTATGACAATTTACTGATGCAGCTCGTCCGCCATGATGTTCAGTGCCATTTTTTGAGGATCGGTGGTGGTGATGAGGATGAGCTGAACTTGACGTTTGGATTCGTACCAGATACTCATCTGCTGCGTTTTGTAGCTGAATACACTGGTGGTACGGTGTTTAATTACGCAGCGCTCTGTGAAGCCTGCTACGCCACAACGAGTATCTCGAGCAATGTTGTTCAAAAGATGACCGATTTACAGGATGCGTGTTTTGTTCGAAAATCGAGTGTGCACGCAAATTCAGCACCCGTGGTAAAGCTCAACGAAATGAATAGCACATCATTTGACAAACGAACACTGTTGCCTCTTCGGCCATATCGGATGTGGCGTGATAAAGTTCACGAATATCGTATTTTTGCCGACGTTAATCGTATCGTCGAGGCACGATTTCGTGAAGGATTCTTGATCAATAAGGTTTATGTCAGGAATTACCATCAGCCTCTCGTGACGGACAAAGGTACAATTGATTCCCCAGGTAGTAACAATACAGCGCCAAGCAACGAATCCACTAAGATTCTAATTGTGTTTCTACTCCAATGGAAAGAGAATGTATGGATCGAGTACGTAGTCTCATCTACGACTGATAACTCAGCGACACAAGCAGGATCAGCAGGTACTATACCGCACTTAGGCCGCCGGTCAAGCGGTCAGGGCATGAGAGGAATGAGTTCTTCATTTTCTACAAGAAAGGTGTCTACTATTGTTTCGAAGGATCAGAAAGCGGCGTGGAGAGAGTGGCACGTGAAAATGAATATCTTGGCGTACGCAGACTTTCTTCGTGCATTTAAAGACGCGATACAGCGCTCGCCAGTTGGCACAGACCGTGGTGGCTCATCCAGGGACTCTTCGGGAAAAATCTCCTTGTCATCGCCGCATTTTGTGCAAGATTTTATCCGTAATGTTCAGGATGTTGATCGTGTGTTGCTGCATCTAATGACGGCAACAGCTAGCATTAACGAGAGTAACGACTCGTGTGCTAGCCAGTTTTCTTTTGGAACAAGTACAAGTGTGGATTCTGTTTCAAGAACTTCTAAAATCACAAGCTCTCACCCAGTCTTTAACATCATTGGAGAGCTATCAACGGTGCTGTGGCATCGCTGGTTCACTGTGGAGCGGCTTGAAATTTTGTGCATCGTCAAAAGTGATGCGTGCGCCGACTATTTTTACAAAAATGAACTGCACAATGCAGTTGAAGGTGGCAACCAAAGCTCGCTTTTGGACACTTTAAAAATTACTTCACACCGAGCAATTCACACTAATGGCGTAAATGTGTATGGGATGAGCAATGGGCATATATCAATTGGAGTTGAAAGTCTTGCCGAGCCACTTATGGCAATACTAGTCAAGTGGTCGTCTCAGAAGCTTTCGCGGGACTTATTTTTGAAGTTTCTCCCACCAACTTTCTCGGACAAAGGTCATGCGCATCCTAGAAATAAGGCATCGCCAGCTTCGGCAACGACATCTGGAGGGGTCGCTCAACGGCGAAGACAACGCAGTCATACCGGTATGTCTGCAGAAGATGCTGGTAATGGTGACAATAACACGAGTACTAGCGAAAGCAATGGAGCCCTTTGCTTTGTGCGGCTTGAGGTTAAAAACAAAACGCTGTGCACTGTAAATGTGGCTTTTTTCGCGACGAGGTCATCAACTCGACGCCGTGTATTGAATGATCTAAAGAGTACAATATTTGCTGGTATAAATGAAGGTCCTGGGACACTTTCTCCAGCAAAGTTGCTCCCGCCGTTGCCGGCTGAGGTTTCGGTAATTCTTTGTCACCGTATGCTGAGCCGCTTGCTTGTTACCCACGACACCCTTCTCCTCCACGAACTTGACCAGACATCTGATTCTTTTGACTATTACACAGCATCGCCATCGTTGGGATCTGAGAAGGATGCAGGAGCAGTTCCTTTTTCATCTAAATGCTGTGGGGGAAGTGAGATGCAATTACAAAGAGTTTTTGGCGCTTACGTATGGCATTCAAGCTGGAAATGGGAAGTGGCGAACTTACAGACATTATTGGATGTGATGCGACGCCTTCATGATGCCCGTATAAGCTGTGGATTTTGGGTGTTGGATTGGAAAATGGATGAATGTGATGGTGGACAAAGTATTCATGCTGAGAGCGTGATATTTGGTCGAGAAATCTTGATGGAGGATGAGAAGGGACATACAAAGACGGCATTAGTGCAATATGCCCTTCGTCGAGTCTCAGATACATGCTTGATGACCTCTTTTTGGATGGAACCTCAGCATGGTACCGTCAAGACACAGTTATCTAATGAAGTTGGCCACCACGATACTTTGCATTGGAGTCTGAAACAAGCCATCGGGCACAGCATGCCGTTCGAAAGATATGAGAGCTATAGTGCACACCAAACCAGCATTGCTCGTGCTTCTACCCTGGTGCCTATTCCATCTCCAAGCCCCGAAAATGCTGAGCACAAGCCGTTAACACCAGAAAATGTGAGCTCTGGATGGCTCAAAAGCTCCACTTATCTAGGTGAAAGTGAACTGTTGCATCTCATCCGTAATTATTTCATTGAAAGTGACTGCCACCTTCTATCGTGTCTGTACACCTTCGATTGCATCATGAATTTGCGCGAGAACATTGAGATGTCAAATGCGTTGAGCAAAAATGCTGGTTGTGTTGTTGGCTCTAGCTGGAATATGGATAGAATAATGGCAGCAGAAAACGGTATGATTCTTCCTCCGTTTAGCACAGCAAGACTTCTATCCTCTTCAAAGCGATCATCGCAACATTTTTTGATGTACCTGCAAAGTGGCAAAAGCTCTATGAGGGCCGAAAATACGCCATTGGCTGAAGCTGTGCCTGCAGTATCAACAGCTAATGTGAATTTGTATTCAATGTTAGAGCTTACTCTCAGGGGCCTGAGCGATTGCGAGGTGGCATGGACTGACTATAATGGAGACGTTGTAGCAGATTCGAGCTCGACAAGCAACCTCAAAGAGGCTGATCAATTTTACTCAGTAGGAATGAACAGTCAATTGCCATTATGGTTAAAAAATCATATGAATTTGTCACTTCAGAAAAGCGTGCCACATCACGCTCTTAGCAAAGGAAGATGCTTTGCCAAACTTGTGAGCGATGATTGCGTCGTGTTGGCATTTTTTCCATCCCTGGACACTCTGCAGGTTAGAAATAAAGGAGCATTCATCGGTGAAAATGATAAAGGAATGTCAAGTACGGCTTCTGAAAAGAAGGAAGTACCCGAAAATCCTGCGCAGATGTTTTCAGCTTATGAGTCAGAGCAAGGAAAATCAAATCCACATAATGTGCGAATGTCAGTGTCTGCTGATGATATAGTCTTATACCAAGAGCGTCGGCGCAACTTTCGTGAAAGTTACAAGTCTTGGAGAATGGGACACTTTCAGGGGTCTCGTGATGAGAAACAAAGTTACGGTCGAGACTTTCGAAAGCTCCGTCTCCCATCGATGCCCGAAGATCATGAATTCTGTGAAGACGTCAGTCGTCGCACGTCGTACGGTTGTGATTTTCACCTCTTGATTGAGAGTAGTGGTGGACATCTTGGCTCAGGCTTTTTTCAAGTTGCCTTTTACGAGTGCTCCCTCTCCCAATTGGCCAAGAGCGTTCACGATGACAGCAGCGAGACGCTCGACTGCGTGGATCTGCCGCACACGATTATTAAACAGTTATTTACAGAACGACGTCATAAATCGAGAGATGAGCGGCCAACTGTACACCTTGATCGAGGTGGAATATGGAGGAAGGCATCCGAACGCACATCACTGGAGTCCAACGAAAGCTCACATTTTCGCTTGAGCTCTGAAACTGCACTTGCGTCTCATCGATTTCGCAAAAAGGTTAAAAGGGCGCATGAGCATAATTTTTCGCGTGGTGTTTACATGGCTCTGCGTGATGGAGGCACCGTTCAACATAGCGATCTGCTTCAGGCGCTGTCAAGCTGCGTTGAAGTACCCACGGATATTGATATTACGTTATTGTATCGTATGATGGAGACAGCTGCTGCGCATAAATTTAGATCGTTGAGCCCTGCTACAGCAGTGGTCTCAGCTGGCGTTGGAGCAGAAATCTTACAGGAAAAGCTGAACAAGTCTTTTGAAACTATATTGTCGAGTATCTTTGTCCCGATTCCTGGAACCAGGTATTACTATTATACGGGAAGTGAAAACACTAGCTATGACGACGTGACTGGGACTGAGTATGAGTTGCATGTTCTCATGGAAGAATTGGACGATGGAGATGGCGATGCTTATACTGAGCATAACAAAAATGATGAAGATAGAAGTGTTGTTGCTACCAATATTACTAAAAGTATTGATACTTCTTGCCTGGATGCAGAAGTTAGAGGAGATGCTGAAAGTACGCGTCGCAAACATGGTAGCTCAAAGGAAGAGGTATCAATTCCCATTGTGACTTCAACCAAGGATAATTTGGAAAGTGAGCATTACGAAGTGAATGTCGATGAGGATGCCGAGTTTAACAAAGAAGTTGCTGTTGCGACTTCCAGCTTTTCAGTTCCTTTCTTCTTAAAATTTGAATGTCTCTTTCAAAACAGCTCACGCGAAATTCGTTCAAATTCTGCCGATGCCCTAGCTGATAAAGTTATCGCTGACTCTGAAATGCTTCTCGATACTACCGCGCACGGTGACCTGCAGAAGGCGATGGCTACGCACGAGTACCTGTCATCGCCGAGCAGCCGTCGAAAGGAATTTAATGCTTTTTTGGAATCTTTGCGAACTAGTCAGTCCTTTAATTCAATTGATGTCACGCGAATCGCTGAGTCATTTACAAAGGTCCCCTCAGGTCGCATTGTCTTACGCTTGATAACGTTGACATTGCAGAATGAACAATCCGTAAATGGTGGCCGCCAGATGCCGTTCGAAATTGACAGCAGTCGGCAGGCTGGTAAAACGAACGGCCTGCGATCAGTTCGCTCTCGCAGCTATTCATTGTTACATCTGTTTCAGCGTCAGGTTCTAGCCCGGGTGCGAAATGATATTAAAGAATGGTGCAGCATGGAGATTCTGTCAATTTTGAGAGCAGCCAACGAAATTACTCCTGCCATTGGAGGGTTAGTGCAGAGGCTGTTCGACGATTTACCAAAGCATGCTGTAACGGAGGCAAAGTTTCCTCTAGATTTTGTAAGCCATAGTCAAGCGACACCCGTGAATCCGCTTGATCTTTTCAAATGCGAACTCGAAAAAGGTGACTTACTCAACGTTCAGTTTTGCAACGGCGTCTACTTTGTGGTAAAAAATAAAAAGGTCAGCGGTGAGGGTGACAACCATTCGGATACGAGAATTGAAATCCCTTTTTGGGCTTACTTTGAAGTTGAGGCCGACCATGTTTGTCTGCATTATCACCATGCGGACCAGTTAAGGCCGTCTCGTAACGAGTGTAACCGCTTGGACGTTTTGACCCGTCTTCAGCTTGGGGTTCGTGCTGCATGCCACCGTGTGAATCAGTATTTGTTATTGCTGCAACTTCACGAAACACGAACATGCAATGGTCTACTTTTACCAGCAGACGGCAACTTACCATCAAGTCCACATTCACCAAAGCGGCGAGGTGGATCACAAGGAGATCTGATACAAAGTAATGGGCAGGGAAATCAGTCCAATTTCTTTTGGCCTGGTCAATTCGAGTGCGACTTATGTTACTCTGCAATTTTTAAGCTACATGAACGCTTGGCACCTAACTTCGCACTTAACATGTTATGTACGTCAGCGCTGGAGCAGTTCCAAGTGCACAATCGACGCCACATGTTTGTTTATCGTGATCGTGACGGCCGTGTATTTTATATGAAAATCAGCATTTTTTACGACACAAACATTTCTCCTGACCTGGGTACCCAGACGTTCGAAGAGCGACAAGAACGACAAGAACGCAATAGCATTGCTAGATCGAATACTGGAGGAATAAACAACGCAGGTTTAACGAATTCATTACCAGCAACAGTGCCTTCTGGGGCTCCTTGCATTCGGCTCGAAGTATTCGGGGTATCTGACGCCGGCGAAGAAGTGACGCATGAGCTGTGTCGACTGCTAGAGAGGAAGCTAGATGAAGGAACTCAAGTTGTGCTCATGAAGTTGTTGGCGCGAAACACGAAATTCCAGCTGAGCCCGACTGACTTAGCGTTTCTATGCCCGCCTAAAGCAGAACCTATAAGTACAGTTGATTACATTCTGCCAGCTAAAGTAGCTGATTGGTGCACACTATTGCATTACTTGTCGCAAACACTCAAGTTGACACCGTACATTCGTCCTGTCACAATCGGTGAATCATTGCGCTTTCGAAATTCACGAGATACTGCGAATCTGGATACCCGACGCGTAAATTTAATACCGGCTAGCAGCACGTTCGGTTTGATTGACGAAGAAGTCCCCAAGACGACTGACCAAAACACTCATGAGCGCATCTTTTTACATGATGGCGCAAAAGCTCTTTCTTCACAGGATAGCGCTCATATACACCCCGCTTGCTTTGGTATCCACCAAAAATCATGGGCTGACTTACAAAAATGTTTAAGTTCAGCTGACGCGGCTACCCGATCGCCTGTTTTCTTTTTTAAGAGACCCAATGAAGAATCGGGGAGTTCTTTTAATGACTCAGCTTCTGGACCTGAAATCATAGCCCAGGCGTCTTACGTTCTAAATCTGAATCCAGACTTGCGACTATCACAAGGATTTTTGTCTCGAGTTGGAAAGGGGCTTGCTCTTACGCGGATCGATTTGATTCGGAGCACCTCACTCGAAAAATATCTGGGAGACGAGGTCAAGCGGAGTTCTTCACGTACGAAGCGTATGCACGACATTCCTGGACTTGGGGATTTGTATTCAGACGATACACTCTCCGAGGATGCTTCAGCTATCACGCAGTATGTGGTGCGATGCCAAATATGGATCCGGGGCTCCTTACATGCAAAAGAGGTGAGCCAAATCATGGAGACTTTTCTGGATGAAGCGTTGTACGATTTGCACTTAGAAGCGATTATTAAAAGATTTCAGTCATGTGGCGCCAACAGTGCGGAAGCGACTTGTATATCTGATCTTGAAAGGAGAATGCCTGCAGATGTAAACACACTGGTGACACTCCTAAAGAGTGCAAGTCAATTGCCATCATCATCTGTTACTTGCCTTGGAATGAATGTTAATGTCGCACCTTGGGATCTTGAAAATGGTATCGCGCAGATCCAGACCTTCTTGAACTGCCTTCCATCTCATTTACGGCCGGCAATTTATGCAAAGTCCCGGCGTACAGGTACTTATGAATGCGCTAATAGGCATACTTACTCGCTTCAAAACGAACCACCTCCACTCAAGTTTCGGCTGGTGGCGAAGCACACGGACATGCCGGAGAATTGCGATGATGCTGACTCGAGTGATTCGGATACAGAAACGGTTGCGACTGTGAGCTCTGCGCTTCAGCACATTGAACCGCTGATGCGAGCTGACTCTGTTCATTCTGAGACATCGGAAATGGATTCAGTATCGGGGAGGGCGACCTTCGCGTGGACATCTGCTGGTGCCAGCTCCGATTTAAGTTTAATCTCGCAAGTACCAACCGCGCTCTCGGCATCGTCGACGAATTCCTCAACAGTTGGAGTAATGGCAGGCCTAACCAATCGACCACACCTTTTGAATAAAGGGACATTTACAGAAAGAGACGTGCTGCTATATCCAAGCAGCAGCAATAGTTTTCATCGCCATCACCAGCTTTTGACGTCTTGTGAACACGGGGAGATCAAACGATCCTTGTTCTATGTGGTGGACTTGTCTACGAATAAGGGCCTACGCTTTCTCGGTTACAACATGAGCTCAGCTCTGGTAGAGGCCTTAGCTACGCAGTTGGCTCGTCTGTTGACATGGAACTCACTTCGTGAAAAACTATTGCGAAGTTTGTTGCTCGAAAAAGTCGGTCTTTCAGCAGCTGCTCCCTTGGGCGCTGTCGTATCACAGCCTCGTAATTTGTTCGTGACTTTCGGAAAGACGGAACAGATTGGAAAAGGTGTCAGTCAGAATCCAGTCGCGTTTTGCAAAGATTCCGCGGTGCACTTCATTGATTATGAAGCTCCTGTGCTGTCTGTACTGCAGTCGAACGAACGGTTTCCTCAAGTGTTGGATCCAAGTCATCTGCGCTCGATCGATGGCACCGCACTTGGAGTATATTTACGTGAGGCGCAAGCTCAACCGACTATAGAAGCACTCGACCCACAATACGCACGCCCTCGAGGGAGGAGTAATACAAATCTTAGTGGCTCTATTGGCTCATCAGGTATTTCAGATCTGACACGAGATGTACCTGGACAATCTTTGTCGCAACAGAGCTCACTTGGTATCGGAGACGCCCCAACCAACTTATTCCCATTCGGGACAAGCCGCAGTGGAATTGTTAGCAGCAGTAACGTCATGAATAGCATGACATCGTCCCCAAGTAATCAGATGATAAATTCGAGTGCTGCTTTGCCAAATCCTAGTGGAGATCGGGGTGAGACAACAGCTCGAATACTTGGGGGGGGGAAATCAGGAGCTGCAACTGCTTTGATGGCAGCTCGGGCGCGAGCGAGGGGCGGAAACAGCTTTGCGAATAATCGAATGGGTGGAAAACCGGCGGTAAATGCAGGAAATAGGGATCCCAGAGATCCTAGCGCATTCACAATCGTCTCTACCGAAGACAAAATCGCGCCATGGGATTTGCCTTTGACGAATAAGAAAGGGTCGAAATCACATATTTTAGAAAATGAGGTGGAATCGAAAGCGGACAAAAGCCGGGATGGTATTTCTCCCACGGTGTCACATGCGCAACATTTCACCGGATCGGAAAAAGTAGCAAATACTGGCTTAAAGAGCACGCCCAGTGGAGCAATTCGCCATGTACGAAGAGGATCCCGAAATCTCAGTTCGTCTATGATAGGATTAACGGCGTCTTCATCTTCGTTATCTGAGCTGACATCACTGACAGCGTCTACTCACCGACGACTCAATGACGACGCGTCTTTGTTGTATCAAGGCCGAGTCCGCACTTCCTGGAAGAAGAAATTGAAATGTGTATGGAGACCCCGTTTCTTGTTTTGTAGCCACACCAAGAGATGGGAAATGAATGTTACAGATTGCCGCCCGTTTCAAGAACTCGAAGAAGATGAAAATCAGCTTAACAAGAAACATTCGCCTCTTCAATTTTACTGTGCAGTTTTTCAAAAGCGCTGGGAAGCATATGAGACGCAATCAATCAGTCACACAGTGGACATGAAGTTGTTACAAAAGCTTGCGTCGTTGCGTGCAGAAGAAGAGCTGGAGGAGCCTATTTCAAATGATATTGTGGAGAGTTTAATAGAAAGCGGACATACCTTGTTACATCAACGCTTTCGAGCTGCTTTTGTGGAGCGATGGGAAACAGCAGAAATTATTAGGTGTGTTCCTGATAGCGACGATGCAGGAGTCCTGCATGCACTACAGTCATGCATGGAATTAATTCACTTACTTAGCTACAAGCGAGAGTTTGTGTTTGATGAAGACGACTGCGCTGTGGCGAAACTTTACACAGAACATACTGTCCTTAGCATGGATGCTAGTATCGGAGCTGACATCTGCACTATTAAGCAGCAAGTTGCTACAAACTTAATGCCGCTACGTTTAAAAGTAGTGCGCGAATTTTACAACGAATATATCGTGCATTTGCGCACCCTAGGATTTCGTCGGCTCTGGACATTGACGGCTGGTAGCCATGCACGTGCATGCTCTGACGTTTCCAATGCTGCAACAGCCGTTCACGAAGTTTCAGGTGAAGGAGGCTTTTCCGCATACTTTTATCATTCGGAAAGAGCTTTAGAAAAAATGGATTGCTGGAATTTGGGTACAAATCATCCCAATTTGGAGTCAGCCTCTATCGTTGTGCTTAAAGTAATATGCGACAACCAGGGTATGCTACTGAATGCTGTCCTTATAAGCACAAATGATCTAAAGCAGCAAGACATGTGTTTGCAGCATCATTTGGCTAGAAATGCCGGACAAAATGGTATTGGAGTTTCAGGAGCAGAACTGCAAAGGGTGACGTCGTGGTTACGTGCTCAACTGCAGACACAAGCTCTCATATATGGATTTACTATTCGTTATTTTCAGCAGCATTTGCTTCAGTGGTTGGGTGCCCTGTACAAGTATCGTCAACGAGACAATGGACAGAGTCAAACAGCTGGAAAGCCTTTACGTGAGAATGATACCCTTGCAGAGACGCCACCTCTGATCTGGAAAAAAATCTCCACTTTCCAAAATATTGTCAAAGGTCTTCAGTGCTTTTTGGAGGCTTTCCCGAACCCACCAGAAACATTTAAAGCCTTTACAATGTCGTCGCCAGCAACCATATATACAGGTAACAAGCTCACGACAACAAAATTGGCAGAGACTGAAGCACGCGAAAACGATAATAATTGTTTAGCTTTGCGCTCAGTAATGCACTCTCGGCGGAGTTCGACGAAACAGTTTCATCACCAGCCGTCCATTTCTTCGGCTTCATCTGAAATTGACTGCGCAGCAAAGTCCACACTGCCTTTGTCGATGCTTTGGCGAGACTGTGTACTCCGCATGATAACGTTGACGTTACCAAATTCCTTACTGCAATCAAATTGCTCGAGACTTATTATGCTACAAATTTTATTGCGGTACATCGCGTGTCATGGTTCGCGTTACAAGGTAATCGACTTACTGCAGTTTGGTACTCCGGATACAATTGCGTGTCACTCAATTACAGGAAGCTTTTTTCGTCGTCCTCCTAACGCAACACCGTCCACACATGGCTGCCTAGGAAATAATTCGAGCGGATATTCGCTAATAATAACAACGCAACCAGTAGCTTACAAGCCTCGTGACAAAAATTCGTTACAGCTTTTGCTTCTGAGGAGTGCTCCTACCGAATCAGGTTCCGTAATGGAGGTGCTTCCTGTTGAAGGTGCACTGGAAGAAGCTCAGCTTTTTACTCGAGAACTGTTCCGTGTCGCTGCTCAACACTATGAACGTGATCTACTGTGGTCTCGATTGCTGTACGATAACTCACGCGACCCCGGTTTTGACATAGCTCACAAATTGGCCCTTCCGTCAGATTTGTTCTGCGTGGAAGTCGGGCCTCAGCAGCTGGAAGAGTGTCTTCGGTTTTCAATCTGTACGCCTTTAGAGGCTTTGGATCCGCGATTAGACGAACTGCTTCGAGTATCTGATGTTTGCTGGCAGGAGCTTGCACTGCGACTTCGGGATATATATGCAGACCAACTGCGAGAGTTCCAGTTTCAAGAGGAAAATGAAAAGAGCAATCATCTACTTCTACTCTGTCCCAACGCGTTTGATCTGATTATCCACTTGACATTTATATCGCCGAAAGACTCAGAGAGGCAGGGCGACGACAGAATTGTGAGAGGTAACAAATATGACTGTATTGATTGTTTGAGCCAAAGTGATGACAGTTTAGTCAGCAGCTCAAACGAATTGTTTAAAAAAAGTGACTTACGCATGGAAATATGTCGCCGCGAAGAGCCTAGCAACAAGCAATTCACCTTTGCACAGCGGCGCTCTATCTCTGAATTTGTCAATAGCATCGTGCATTGGCAGTGGCGAAGTCTCATTTATGATTGAAGATAATTTTCAAGCATGACGATGCTAGAACTAACTGACCTCCTGTACATTAGTGCAAAAAGTCGATGGAGACGTATTTATTTCGGAAAAGGCCCAGATATAAAGTTGCACATGATATGATTAAAAGTGTTATGTTTGAACACTGCAAGGATAGCAACCATAAATATTGGAGTTTTGTCGTGACTGGCAAGCCTATTGAAATTACTATGATAACGATATTAAATAAAGTCTAGTGATTAAGTTTATGATCCATTTGGTTAATACAACTTTTGTTATTTCTGATAGCGCAGCGCGTAGTAGAAGTACGAGTTCGTAACATGGCAACGAGTGGAAGGTAAAGAGATGATAGTGCCTCAAAAGTACATTTGGCGGTTTGGCTGACAATGAGTGCACTTGATGCTAATATTTAAACCAGTCTTGGTAATTCGAGCGCAATACGAAGGATATATATATATATATCTAAATATTTCGAGAAACGACGCTCGTATAGACGTGTGCCACAGGGCCATGGATCTTTCCGTTGACCTCATCAAGCGCCGAAGTGGTCACTACGATTTAGAATTGGTCACGCTGTTAGATGTCTCGAGGATGAACATTTGCAGATTGATCCATTTAGAGCACTGCGTGAATCTCATGGAGCTAAACTTGAATCACAACGATGTACGTAGTGACATCGTTCAAGTTACTGATCTAAGGATATAATTGTCGGTGAAGCTTCAATCCTTAGAAGGATTGCCTCCTTTGCCATTGCTGCGCTGTCTTCACCTTTCCAACAATCGGCTTGCTTCCATAGGTCTGTTGATAAGCAGAAAAGTATGCGAAATAATGCTTATCTCTATACTATTTAGACAGCCTACCGAGCTTGCCTTTACTCGAAGAACTTCATGTGGCAGTATGTACGAGCTTCCCACAAGAGAATTTCATTGATCTTACTTATGTAGTGCTGAGTCAATAGAACAATCAGATTCAAAGCATCAACTTCGTCGAGTTGGCAAAAAAAATACCGAGTCTTCGAACTTTTGACTTTTCCGGCAACGGTCTGGATGATAGCAGTACTGTAGCAAAAGCGTCGGAAGTGTTTCCTTATCTCTTATTTCTGAATAATGAGGTACTTGCGTTAACAAAGCTCTTTGAAGTTTTATCGTCGGAGCAATTCGAGGTTGAAAATGGCGTGGTATCAAGTATCGAACTCGAAGAAAAGGTTGTTGCTACAATGGATGATAAGGTCGACTTTATCGATGAAACTACAAGTCATCTTGAAGGTTAGACTACATTTTGAAAAGCTTCTTTTCAGATAACCCGCATAATCTTTATTGTCTTCTATATGCCTGTGATCAGATTTATTGCGTCGATGTGACCAGACGATGGCAAAGACGGATCCAAAGCTAATACTTTCAGCTAGTCCATTCTCCGAAAGCCCATGAATATTACTTTTCCACACTAAATGATATGAATTTGCCTAGCCACTATGACTTCGAATATCCTTATATCAGCACCATTAAGATAGATTACATTTCGGTAAAGATCTTGACACGATTCAAACCCGTCCTAGCATTTCTTCTTCACTTGTTGCTGTAGCATTTCCAGAACCAGCGACGTCGAAAATAGATTTGCGGCACGTTGGACACGTCGAATTCACTAAAAGCCATTCATCCACGCACTCTTTGTGAAAATGATGAGCACACGGCAACACACGTAGCGACTGAGATGGTTCATAGTCATTGAGACAGATACAGCAGCATGCATCCTCTGAAGGAAACATACTGGCTACATACGCCTTGGTCTCCAACTGGTCAATTATCTACCGCATAAAACAGCACAATATAAGTTTTCAAACAATTGTCAAGTATTTTTAATGCTTATCACCTCTTTCGTCGCTCCTTTTCCTCTCATTGGATCTTGTAATCTACTAAGAAGCCGAATGACACAAGGTAGACAGAAGCAGAGAACAGGCAGTAGTGCTAACAAAAGTAAACAAGGAAGAAATATCTTGGCATATGAAATAACAATCATCCATAGCGCTAATTGATACATAGCTGATCCATCGTCACAACGTGCACCATCACTAATGACCCACATATTTCCAACTAAAAACCAAAAGAGCCCAGCAAGATCTAATCCGTATTTCAGCTGACTTAGAAACGTCATGTATTGTTCTCGTAGTCTAATGGCACTATTACTCGTTGCACCATTAAGAAAATATAGTGTCCATTCAAGCAATAACGTGAAAGTCAAATGAATTGTATGTAATAGTACCCACACTTGAATACGATAACACAACGTTTCGCTTTGCCAATGTAGTACCAAGAGGACAATAGCTGCTACAATCTGTGGTACATTGACAATAGACAAAGCCCACATAATAAGACGCGAATTCCGTGCGTCTCGAGCTTCCTGTACACTACTATTCAGTACATTAAGACGCACAGCGTGGGCTTCATCTGGAGCTGCTGGTCCCCTCCCAACACCCGCAGTAGCCAACAGTCGTGCACGAGATGGAGATGTTAATGAACTGCTATTTGGAACTGTTGAACGCAACGCGACACGCTCTTCAGAGCTTGGCATCGTAGAGGCTGACGGATCAGAGGTCTCAGGCATACAGGTAGTGAGTGAAGTGTCCCCTTTTTTTAAGCTTTATCGTTAATTACAATTTTGGAACATTGACGAATTTATGTTCTGAGTCGGAAAATTCCGATAAACTGACTTGTTGCACGAGAAATGCATCAACGGTGAGGCGGCAATTAGTTTGACTAGTACTTTCATTGCTTTTTGAAAATGTTTTATCATTCCTGTGTACAGTCACGAAGTAGTAGTAGAATTCTTTGTCATGTATATTTGATTTGAAGTGAATTCAATTTTGAATGATAGTGACCGCCATGTGAAGAATAAGCGCTGCGGATCAACTTTAATGATTGCAAGAAACATGGAGTCATGGTCATCTTTATCGCCGAGATGTAATAAAAAAGGGTTAATTTCATGCCACTATTATGAAGTGGTTAGGTATTCGGCTTGATCACATATCTGCAACTCAACTACCAACTTGTTATGACTCTCTGTTACCTTTAGGTTGCAGAACAAGTGAAAGGTTTCGGAGCACTTCATACGATGTGATGTTGTTCAAAGCATAGCTTAATTGGAAAGGGTTTACGAAAACGGGATCAAAATCCTAATAAATTAACAAGCGTAAAGAAGTGGCGACACTTTACTAGGTCCTTGTGTTTTCTATTTCCACGCACCATAAATGTTTTGATTATACTATAATCTGCCACTCAGCGCCATGGATAAGAATTCCATATGGGCGATTTACTTCTTATGCGACCACTTGCCCTAATTTTTGTGCCCAATCAAACAGCTGACATTGCACATCGATCCATGTGTCATAAGGCCTTCGAAGAAATCTGACTGCTCAGCTTATACATTATTTGCACTAAACAAATATAGAGCTCTGCATAAAAAGAGTCGCAATTTTCTGTTCTTCTAAAAAGACGCAATTTCTTATCGATACAAACAAGCGCTTTGTATTTGATTGATCTTTAAATTTGATGTTTGTTTAAATTTCAGATGTATAGTCTTTTGCAAGGCTTTGGTGATAGTGAAACAGCCAACTGTTCCACTTAGGTTTTCTTTTGAGGTTTCGGTATAATAGGTGAAACCTAAAAGCCTATGAACTCGAGAATTCCTTGAGCCTTACCAGCAGGACTATATTTCATCAATTAATCGTGAGAGTAAGTTAAAATACTTCATTCTTCTTTTTGCAAATTCAGACAAAGGCATCATTCATCAATTTTTTTTGATAATGACAAATGAAAAGACAACGAAAAGTTGTGTCCAAGAAATGCAATCAAAAATTGCTAATCATTGGACAGTCACACCCAAGTCATGTTCTCCCGAGCAATATGATGCAGAAGAATGGCTTTTTACCTTCTATCTTGGCAAAGATCGATACTACTCAACACATTGTCTACGATTCTCACGTTGGTACTTATTCTTTGCTAGTTTTTTGGTTCAATTCTGTATTGGATCATTATATTCATGGTCAGTTTTTAATGAACCGATTGACATCCACGTATTTGACAATCCAAAAGCTGGTTTAGCTGTTAATGCCTTTTACATTGCTGTCGGCATCTTTGGCTCAACAACAGCAATTATGGGACCATGGATTGAACGTAATGGTCCTCGCTATGGTGTAGTGCTTGGCACCTCGTCATTTCTTCTTGGTCATGTGATTGTATCGATTGGTTTAGCATACAAAAGTATCGCTCCAGTTTATATAGGATATGGTTTATTCTGTGGCTTTGGTATGGGTCTTTGCTACATTGCTCCAGTCTCATCTCTACAAAAATGGTTTCCTGACTACCGAGGTACAGCCTCAGGATTCGCAGTTGCTGGTTATGGTGCTGGAGCTGTGGTTTGGGCAAAAGTATACCGTCCGTGTATAGAAGCTGTTGGTGTGTCATCGACGTTTCTGGCTGTCGGCTGTGCTATGGCTGGTATCATGTACTTCTGTGCTATTGTAATGCGAACTCCTCATCTCGAATTTACAGTTGGTGGTCTTAATATTCACGGTGAAACTGTGGATGAATATGTTACGTCGATTGAGGATGCTGAACTAAGCACATCCAAGCATCGTTACGACTCTGCAGCGTCAGAGAACGATGTTGACTTTGCCATCACCTCGAATGCACAAGTACGCAAGATGACATTGATCGATGCCATAAAGACTCCAGACTTTCTTTGTATGTATGTGATGTTCTTTGCAAGTCAAATTTATGGACTGGTTGTGCTATCAAAGCTTTCCAACATGTGCACCGATATCTTTGGTCGAACTAGTGATGAAGCTGCAAATATTGTATCGATTAATGGTGTTTTTAATTGTTTCGGGCGACTATTCTTTTCGTTAGCATCGGATCTCGTTGCTCGAAACTTTAACATCGAACATGCTTTTGCTCGCAAGTGTGTCTTCTATACGACTATGAGTTTACAAGTGATTATTGTGGGTACGACTCCAGCGTTGATTCGTAACAATGAGTACACAGCGTTTGTTGTTGAAATCTTTATATTAACAGCAAGTTACGGCGGTGGGTTTGGCACTATTCCGGCTTTCCTGACTGATATGTTTGGTGCGTTTAATATTGGAGCAATGCACGGACTGATTTTGACGGCCTGGTCAATTGGTGGTGTTGCGGGTGGCATTACGTTTAACAATGCCTATAGTAGCCAGATTGAAGCTGGTTTGACAATTGGTGAGGCGTATATCGTTACTGTGAATAATATTTTCATCATTATCGTTGTTGGACTATTCGCATTGTTCTTGGTCCGTACGAACCCGGTGGACCGCTTTGGATCTGGTTACCACTTTAGCATATTTGGTCGAAGAATCATCAGTATAAAGAAAGCGGCAGAACCGTCGAAAAAAGAATCAACGTTTGAGTTGATGTAAGCGTCCAACTTATAACATGTTCTGGGTTTTGTTTTTTGTTAAGTTATTTCTTTCAGTCTTTTACTACTAATCTAAGTCGACAATTAAGTAGGATATACAAATATAATCGTGCAGCACATATTTGAAATCCGACGACGCTTACTTACTTGATTTGCGAGTATTGCCATGTTGGAAGATTGTGCGAGTAACCGCTATGCGATTTAAATGAGTATGCATCACAAGTGGTTTCGATGTGGACGCTCAACCAAAAAAGATTAAAGTTTTGACACGTAGTAAGGCATGTCCATCGCTGACCATCTTCAGATAGATGATCAGATAGAGCGCGATAGTCGCGTGGTGGAGGATGGGGAGACCGCCGTGCTAAAGCAAATGACTCATTGAATTTGAGAAAATTGGTCTGTACATGCCTCTTCCAGCTAAACTCCATTTTCTATATACAGTTTGGGTTATACTTCATTTTCTATAGCCTTCGTGTATCATGGTCTCCGTGGGGGTGGGTGTGCATATCAAAATCAGCTCGCTGATATCACCTCCGCTAGATTTCGTAGCAAATCAGTGACTTTATCTTAATGAGATTGGGCGTCATGGGGTGGGTGCGCCTGAGAGCCAAAATAAATAAAGTAATACACCAGGTTCAAATGCAGGCACAACAAACCCAAAATGTTGTGAGGCAAAGTATTTCTTAATAGAGCTTAGCCAAACTACATATGCAGTGTCTGCGACCGAGAAGACTAAGTTGCAGCCGCGCTACATCACCGTGTAGATCATAGCGTAGAAAGAATTGAGTTATACTCGAAATGTCTCAAAGAAAATGCAAACTCATCATGATTCTACGTGAGATTACTCAAGCAATAATACGATACCGATCTTTCAAGCTAGTAAATATGAAGAGCAGAGGTTCAGATAGAGCAAAGCCTCTATCATCTCCTGTAGCTAGACTACACTCTGCTTAAAAAGAAGCGACGCGGAGTCAAACAATCCAAGCAGTGCGATGGCGAAGCGGAAAGAGCTTTTGAGACCAACCTCATCTCAGAACTGGTCAACACGAGAGAGTCAGAATGTTATTACAATCGAAAATTCTCGCGATCCAGACTAAGATGAATCAATTTCGCAGACATTTTTCGATGAGAAACTGAAGGGCTACTTTCACGTGGATCTTTGATGGTCTGGCGGGCTCACCAGGGCCGTTACGGATTTATTCGGAGAATTTGTGAGGTTCCACTTCAGAAATTTTGTCTTGGTGCCGTAGCCGATTACTACCTGGCACACTCTTGACTATAAATCTCCTTGACGAATAGGTAGCCACCCATTGCAGAACGACCGATCTGGTGACGAATATACCCCCATGGTTAGCTGTTACAGACGTCTTGTGGAGGGAGACGAGAGGGCTGTAATTAGCAGGTGCATGAGGTGATAGGTTGAGGTGACAACCTGACACTTGACGTCTGCGTCGTAATCTGTGCTTTGCATGGTCAGGTACGCTACGACGCTCTAAGCTGGCATCCGCTTCACTGAAGGTGGCGTAAAGCCTTAAGACGAAGGATACGGCGACTGTTTTTCACCAATGCGCAAATTGAGTCTGGTACTTATCGGCATTTATGCCAGCTCCTAGTACTCAAGGTGCATCTCTCACACAGAGTACGGTTTTTCTTAACCATTGCTGCTCAAGGCGAAGACAACACCCTAGTGAGCGATTATCTGTAAGTTGTGAGAGCACTTCCGAAACGACTTTCTTTGCTCGTTTTGGTTTCGCGAGCGTCATTGAACGATAAAAAATCGTCATCACTACGTGATTGAGGCAAGAATTAGTGTCGTCCACGGCAAGGTATCGAAACACTTGCTGCCGATGCAAAATGGCACGGGTCGAGACTCGTGCAGGGAAGAGGCTGAACGCAGTGAGCGCCTAGAAGAACGGCTAGACGTTGTGCTGTCCGTTTACTGTGTCAAAATCGGGAAGTCACGACGATGATCCGATCGATGAACATTTCAGTAGAATTATTTGAGTGCGTGGGTCAAAAACGCGCGATTGTGAAGACTCGTTGAGCCATTTGGATTGGCTCTCAGAAGATGATCCTCCGCGCAAGTAAAGTATCCTCTAAAGAATAGGAGCGGTGAAGTCAGAGAGTAGAACTAGAAGGATTATGCTGCGGTCGTTTTGCGGGGTATCTTCTAAATACAAACAAGGGCGAACGTGTTGAAGTCAGCAAAGTTCGTCATCCTGAAGTCAGCAAGGTTCGTCACTATGACGT